GGCCTGATCCAACATTGGCTTCTCCTATGTTCTTATGTTCTTATGACACTGTTGTGTTTCTATCTCTAAGAATTTGTTTAATGAGGTTGCATTTGTTATCTTACCCTATACTGCTCCGAGCCCAGTTTTCCGAGGTAGGCCTAATAATAATAATAATAATAATAATAATAATAATAATAATAATAATAATAATAATAATAATAATAATAATAATAATAATAATAATAATAATAATAATAATAATAATAATAATAATAATAATAATAATAATAATAATAATAATAATAATAATAATAATAATAATAATAATAATAATAATAATAGATGATGATGATGATGATGATGATAATAGATGATTATGATAATAATAATAATAGATGATGATAATGGTGAGGGCCAGAGGGCTGGACATACCTCCTCCAATGCTCATTCATTTTACCCTTGAAAGGCAGGCTAGGTTCCAAGACCGCCCTCTAAGCTTTATCATTCAGGATTTGAACCCAGGTCTCCCTGTTCCAAACACTGCGTCTTAGGGATGCCAGCCTCCAGGTGGGACCTGGAGATCCCCTCGAATTACGGCTCCTCTCCAGACTGCAGAGATCAGCTCCCCTGGAGAAAAGGGATGCTTTGGAGGGTGGACTCTGTGGCCTTGTACCCCACTGAAGTGCCTGTCCTCGGCAGGCTCCACCCCCAAATCTCCAGGAGGTTCCCAATCTGGGGCTGATAACCCACCCCCCACCCCCCAGGGGCCAGGGGGGACCAGGCAACCCTGCTGCATCTGGTGTCAGCATTCCCACTTTTGCAATATTGGGGATTTCCTTCTGCAACTCTCAGAGCACATGAAGCCAAACCGAAGTTCAGGCTTCTTGGCAAAGCATGTTTTAAAGGCGATGGAGAGTGGGGGGGGGGGGGGGGGAGATGGCAGAGAGGCAATCTACACAAATTGGCCAGCAGGGGGCACCCTGGTCCATTACATGTCCTGCACTCTCCTTATATGGGCAGCAGTATTTCCTGGTTTCTCTCTCTCTCTCTCCTAACGGGTAGCCCCACACCTTTGTGGGATCCAAGGGCTGTACAATGAGACAAGGAAAGAGAGGTTTCTTGCAGGGCAGCATTTCAGAAGCCCTTCGGGGCAGGAGGTAGAGAGAGCCTGACCCAGCTTGGTGTAGTGGTTAGGAGCATGGGCTCAGATCTGGGAGAACCGGGTTTGGTTCCCCACTCCTCCACGTGCAGCTGCTGGTGTGATCTTGGGTCAGTCACAAGTTCTCTCAGAGCTGTTCTGGAAAGAGCGGTCCTCGAAAGAGATCTCTCGGCCCCACCTACCTCCCAGGGTGCCCGTTGTGGGGAGGGGAAGGGAAAAGAGATTGTAAGCTGCTCTGAGACTCCTTCAGGTAGTGAAGGGCGGGGTATCAATCCAATCTCCCTCCTCAAGAACTGCCCTTGAGAGAACAGCTCCGAGAGAACTTGTGACTGACCCAAGGTCACACCAGCAGCTGCATATGGAGGAGTGGGGAATCGAACCCAATTCTCCCAAATTAGTGTCCGCACTCCTAACTGCTACACCAAACTGGCTCCTCCTGTGGCGGGAAATGGCTTGCTTCAGGCTGGCTAGACAATTCACAACAGAGGTGAGATTCAAATCCAGGCCCTCCCCATTTCTAGGCCAGTCTTTACAGCATGCTGCAGTAGCAGAATCCGGGCTCCAGTTCTTGAACTTGTGTCCCAGGAGATGCCCTCCCCGTCCCCTTACCTGTCACCTGCCCGTTGTGTTCCTTCAGTTCGTGGGCCTTGGTCCATTTTGCCCCGTCTTTCTTATAGATGTGGACTTCATGGTTGTTGGGGCAGATCGCCAGCTCTGTGGAATGGGAATCAAATTCAACAGCCTGGTTACTGCCAAAAAGAAACCCTGCGCCGAACGGTGGCAGAGTCTAATGGGAAGAGGCTAGTTTAGCGTGCCCCAATCCCATTTTGTGCCCAGGAATATACCAGCGGCTAGTACCGATCTCTGCAGGCTGGCGTGAAATTATCAGCTCAGTGGATGCCGCTCAGCCCTGCATTAGCTGTCCTCCAAACTGACTGAGGCTTCCAAACAGTTTTCAAGGGCAGCCCCATGTATAACACACAGCAGTAGTCTAGCCATGATGTCACCACTGTGTCTCAAGGCTACCTAGGAACCTCAAGGAGGCAGAAAGCCACAGCCTGCCTTGGGTATTCTCCAGCCTCTTCCATGCAGGAGCTTTCAATTCCGCTCTCTGTAACGCCAACCTCTCAGAGAGCTTTTTGTTCCCCACGCAATCACAACGGCCCTTTCACATGCCACAGCTGGAGTGGAGGAAGTCTCGCTGGCTGTGATTCGCCAGGGCAGCCCAACTGACCCACGAACAATGGCCATATTCTCTCTCGGAGAGCTATTCATGCCGTTTGACAGTAACTTTCTGTTCCCTTTGCCCCCACCCTGGACCTCCACCTCCGTGGGCTCTTAGCGCTCTTCAGGCTCGAGCTGCAAGCAGCAAGTCTCTTTGCAATTACGGGGGGATTAGAGACTGTGCTCCCCGCAGGGCTGCCGCCAAAAATGGAAGCAGCGCGAATCAGCCTCCCTCTGTTCTTATAAACTACTAAGGTTTGCATGCTTCACTCCCCTCCCCTCTACAGGTCACTGGCTGCTACTGGGAAAGGGTGGAGAAACACAGGGAAAGGAGAATGGGGTAGCTCTGATTCCAGGCCCGTAGCTACGGTGGGCTTTCGGGGGCTCCGCCGCCCTTTCTCGAGTGCCTGGGCTGAAACATACCATGAACGCTTAAAGACAAGAATTTCTCCTATAAATGCTTTCTTCAATCGTGTTTAGATATATTTTTTAAAAAGGCATGCTTTCCTGTAAGCAGAGTGGGGTGCTGCAGTTGACTAATTCCCGCCCTGAGCAATGGGGTTGGAGTAGGTGACCTCTAGGACCCCTTCGAACTCTGTGTCAAGAAACTGGTCTCCTTGAAGAGAGTCTTTCTGTGTAAGTGTCAGCTTCCTTGACTGTGGAAGGCATCACCCCCACCTGCCGGCTCATTCTCAGAATTGCTGCTTAGGCTGGCAGAAGCGATTAACTTGCAGCAGCTGAGAACTGTCATCTCAAGTGGCTGACAGCTCGCAATTTAGAGACCTATCCTATTGGCGAAACAGCTTTTCTTTCTGCACGGAGAACTTCAGCCCCGCCAGAAAAAAAATGTGCCCCATAAGCCACGAAATCCTGGCTACAGTCTGTCTGATTCGATGATTCTGCAGAAGGCAGAAGAACTTAACTCGGGGTTGCCCTTTTCGGCAGCAGTGGTGTGCTGAACATCACATGTCTTTCTACAGCACACCTAATGGCTCTGAGGAGGGCAGAGAAGGCAAAGCATGCATTTTGCTGCGGAATAGCTCTCCCTTCAAATCTCGAGAAGCGTTTTCCCCCTTTTCGTTATGGAGGGAAAGGTGGCAACCTGGTGCCTGAAGGAGGCCCCCGACTTACGGGTTCTGTCCTTGTTCCAGGCGTGGCAGCTGATGGGCTCAAGGAGTAAGCTGTGGTAGGCCATGACGTCTCAACCTTGAACGGAAGAAAAGAAGAGTTTGTTTTTCAGGTCTCGCATTTAACATGTAGTAGAGTCAAGAGCGTCTCAACTGAGTCTTGCTCAAGCGCCTGGGCTGGAAAATACCATTAAGGCTTAAAGGGTTTCTAGCTCTCGGTTGGGAAATTCCAGGAGATTTAGGGGTGGAGCTCTGGGTTGAGAAATACCTGGAAATTTGGGGGTGGGGCCTGAGAGGAGAGATTGGATTTATACCCCATGGCCCTTCACTACCCGAAGGAGTCTCAGAGCGGCTTACAATCCCTTCCCCTCCCCACTACAGACACCCTGTGAGGTAGGCGGGGCTGAGAGAGCTCTTTCAAGGACTGCTCTCGAGAGAACAGCTCTGAGAGAACTCGTGACTGACCCAAGGTCACCCAGCAGCTGCATGTGGAGGAGTGGGGAATCAAACCCGGTTCTCCCAGACTAAAGTCTGCGCTCTTAACCACCACACCAAACTGGCTTAACCACTACACCAAAATGGCATTATATTTATGATTATATTACCAGCACTTCTCACCCTTTCTAATTGGTTGATAAATGTTCAAAAAATGTTAAAATAGTTTTTACTGCTACATAATAAGCTTGACCTTCAAGGAGGAAGAGGAGGAGGAGTGGTTGGATTTATACCCCACCCTTCACTCAGAGTATCAGAGGGGCTTACAATCACCTTCCCTTCCTCTCCCCACAATAGACTCCCTATGAGGTAGGAGGGGCTGAGAGAGCTCTGAGAGAACTGCTGTTCAGAGAACAGCTCTGAGAGAACTTGTGACTGGCCCAAGGTCACCCAGCAGCTGCACGTGGGGACGTGGGGAATCAAACCCAGTTCTCCCAGATTAGAGTACAGGCTCCTAACCACTAAACCAAACTGGCTGAGGAGGGCGGGGTTTGGTAAGGGAAGGCACCTCGGGCATTATAATGCCATAGAGTCCCCCCTCCAAAGCAGCCATTTTCTCCAAGGGACCTGACCTCCACAGCCTAGAGATCAGTTGTAATTCTGGGGAAAGGCCAGGCCCTACCTGGGAAGTTCCCCATTCCCCCTAACCACAGGTGGGTCAGAGGAATGTCTCTGTCGCTCAGCAGAGAGAGAAAGGCTCTCTGTACATGCTCGGAAGTCTTTTCATCGGGGTTTCCTCGGCCTCTGAAAACAGGTTCCAAATGTTGGTTGGCTGGGGGAAACGGAGCCATTTTGCGTGGCGTTTAATCCTTTTTAATCTGCTAAAGTCACCCTCTCG